AGCAAGATCTATGCTCTCTAACTTAGAAAGTTGCCCGATGCTATCTGGAATACTCCCACTCAATTTATTGTCATAAAGGTATATGCTCTTTAACCTAAAAAGTTGCCCGATGCTATCTGGAATACTCTCACTCAATTGATTGTGAAAAAGATTAAGAAATGTCAAGGAAGTCATGTTTTGGAGAAATATAGGCATTGGACCTTGAAAAGAGTTACATGAAAGATCAAAGTGTTGAATATTGCCAAGAAATGTAAAATTTAGGGGATGGCTATGAGATGGTAGGTGAGAATTTTCAAGACTACAGCTTGAAAAACTTAACCATAACAGTGAAGGAAGCATGCCAAGCACTTGAAACAAGTTTGATGATGCAAGGCTTAGATTTACTTCACTCATATCAAGAAATGTCAATGAAGTCATGTTTTGGAGAAAAATGGGCAATGGACCATGAAAAGAGTTGCTTGAAATATCCAAGTGCTGAATATTTCCAAGAAATGTAAAATTAAGGGGATGGTTGTGAGATGGTAGGTGAGAATTTTTCAGACTACAACTTGACAGACTCAACCATGATAATGAAGAAAGCATGCTAAGTACCTGGAACAAGTTTGATGAGGCATGGCTTAGGTTTACTCCACTCATTTCAAGTTGTTGCAAAGAGAAGAGATGAGAAATCCATTGAACATCATCAACCTTCAATCTTCCATAATGTTCATCGGAAAGATCAAGGACACGAAGCCTCGTAAGATTTCTAAGTTCACCAGGAATTCTTCTTTTGAAGTTCATAGAAGAGAGATTTAGGTACCTTAACTGCTTCATCAAGCCAAAAGAGGGTGGAATAAGATTACCATTGAAATTATTTTGGCTCAAGTCCAGGTGTTCTAAGTATCTTAGCTTGAGCAAACTTGAAACAACCTCCTCGACATCATCAATTAAGTGCAATTGATGAGGTTGTTGATCATCAATAGAGTACCGAAGAAGTTGATCAAATATTGATCCCTTGAGTTGAAGCAAGATAACATATCCACTATTTTTGTCACAGCCGATTCCTTTCCATTCACAACAGTTACTGCCTTTCCAAGAAGACAACATATACGATGGATCATGGAAACAAAGTTTGAACTTCAAGAGGGCTTCTCTCTCCCTTTCTATACAGCTAAAGCTCGTGTTCCGACCAGAACAAAACTCTGCAGCTCCAAAGAACAATACAACAACTAGAACAAGCATAGCACGAAAAGTTCTCCTCATAATGATGGTTTCAATATTGTAAGGAAGATGAGATGTGATTTTTAATTTTGGTTGTATGTTAATATATAGTCCCATGGATAGGCAAACAAAACACCTTTCCCCGAAGTTACACTAAAGAAAAAGAATCCGAGTAAGTAATTAAAAATACGTAGCCTATTTTTGTATTTCGATAATAATCACTCGAGCGCGTTTGCCAAGACTTGGATGTCTTTTTGGTCCTTGGTGCTTTAAAGTCAATTTAATTAATGCTTTCATTGTCCTTTTGCCCCACCATAATAATAATACATCTTTTTTACAAGTCTTGTGCTACTGTTGTGCAACGGGAAGACGGGAAAAGTTTGAAAAATGGCTTTCAATTCTTGGAGATATCTATGGTTCGTGAAAATTCCTTCTCTTTTTACCAATCATGGAAATTTTTGGTTATCATCATTATGGATTCAATATTGTGTGGAAGATTGGATATTTAGAACATTTTAATTTTTTTTTCCTTTGATAACGGATGATTTTATTTTTATTTCTTTTGATGAACGGATGATTTTTAATTTTGATTGCATATTAATATTATAATGACAAATCTTAAGCTCTTGAACTTACCCTATTCTTCGACACGAGCCCCTAAACTATCTTTTTAGACTTATAAGCCCTTAACTCTTCTATTTATGCTGTTCCGCAGCTTTCGGTAAAAAAATCTGATCACAGCTGTCAAAGAAAAAGGATAAATTGTTGTTTAGTCCATATACTTTGAAATTTAACAAAAATTAGTTCTTTCATTTTTATCTAAATTTACTAAAAAATTAAAACAAGAAATAAAAAGAACAAATAATCCTATGATAAAAAAAAAAAAAATTCTCAACATGGCTTCCATGTCACAAGTCTCGATAAATCTGCTCAACATCATATTTCCAATGCATCCCGAAGACAACCCAAAAAAAAAAAAGGATTATATTTAAATAAATTCTTGTTATTTAACTAATTCTTTCTAAAAAATTTAAAAATCAAAATATATATAATTGATAGTAGCTCTTGAAATGTAACCTATGGGATAACTTTTTTCCAATCAAAATATTAATAAATTGTAAAAATAAATGAGAATTTAAATTTAATTATTAAATAAATGAAAAAAATAATTGAGGGTTATAATTGAGTTTTATTCACATATTATCTGTAAATATAAGTAAGAAGCTAAACTCAAATAACTTTTTTTTAGCTCCCTAATTATTATGAAATCTTTAAGAACTTAAATTATTTAAAGAATATTTAAAAATTTGTCCTTAATTAATTCATGAATAGATTTTATTTCAACTTTACGTAATATTCCTCTTACAATCAGATCAATACAAAATCATATTTTCTTGCATTAGAGAAAACAAGAATATTAAAATATATATCATGACATTTTTGCCTTTCTAATTTTTCATTTTGATTCTGAGATGAGTCGGGTAGAAATTTGGAAAATTATGTTTAATGGATTTCTTGAAAGATGAAAACCATGGTGGGGTCTGCTAATAGGATTGATACTTTTTTATTTCTCAAATTTTTTAGTAAAACTTGTTTAAGTACAGGGATTAATTTTCTTTAAAAATTGAAAAGTATATGCACTAAACTATGATTTAACTATTTTCTTTTACTGCCGTGATCAGATTTTAAGCGAGTGGTATCGAAACCGTTAACAAGGGTTGCTTATATCCCAAAGTTTAGGAGCTTGTAAGGATAAAAAATTGTTTAGGGCTTTATGTGCGAAAATGGGTTAGTTTGGCGGCTTATGTCGTAGTTTGTGAATGCAATACTTTGGCCTTCCTTTTTTTTTCAATCCAGAAATATATAAAATATAAATTAAAAAATATATATAATATTAATATATAAGCTGGACATTGGAAAACTTAAAAGGAAATTTTGACAACTAAAATTTGATATCAATAATATGATATAAATTATGTTATTAAATAAATTAATACATATAATATTATATATGAATTTAAAATAAAAAGAGTCAATCATTAAATAATATGACATTTATTTATTAATATTTTAAATGAAATAACTTAAATTTTACTTTTATTTATTATTATTTTAAGATCTCGTTTGGTATAACGGTTTTGGGTTAGCGGTTAGCGGTTTTACTTAAACCGCTAAATATAGGTGTTTGGTAAATTTATATATTTCGAAACCGCTATAAATAAAGTATTTGGGAAAATTTTTATTTAACGGTTTGAAACTAGCGGATAGCGGTTAGAGTCCAAACCACTAGCGGATTGAAAAAGCTAGTTTATGTAGCTTTTTGTACCAAACCGCTAACGGATTGAAAAAGCTAGTTTATGTAGCTTTTTGTACCAAACCGCTAAC